TCCCCCCCCCCAGCCTGACAGCCCTACTTTGTCTCCCTTTGAATTCAGTGGGTTTACCTGTGGAACTCATTGCCACTGTTTTTTTCCTATGGTGGGAACTGCGCCAGCCTACTTCTGCCCACCCCAGAACCCTGAATTACCTCTGCCTCCGCATTTACTCTCTACCGCTAGCAATGTGGTTACTCTGCGGAACTCACTGCCACCAGATAATACCATTGGAGAAGGGCTGACTGGATAGATGGAGCCCTACTATAGTGGTTCCTAAGGCTGGGCAGTCTCCATACTTGCTGCAGCTTGAATCTCCGCAGATGGTAACTCCACAGCTGGCAGGGCACATTGGCCTAGTATGTTTCCTACACAACCTCTTCCCCCACTGTGGTTGGCAGGAGGACCTGCGGGTCCAGCGTTAGTGACCTGATGCCTAGGAGGGATGGGGCTGTTAGATCAGGGGCGCGTGTGGGAGCGATATTACGGTAGCAGGTGCTTAGCTCTTCAGCGTGGCTTCACTGGAGTCACTCCGCTGCTTGGCGACGTCGGAAGCTCTTTGGGGCCGGGGCCATCTGTTTGTTCTGCGGATGTACAGTCTGGGTTCCTGGGCCGCTGAGGCACTAGCACAATCCGCCTCATAAATAAGTACTTCAGCATATGCTTCAATATAAGGGGACGCAGCTGAATGGGGAAGGATTAATTAACTAAGGATGGACAGATGCCAGTTCTCTACAGACTCTGCCTGCACCACCCCCACCCTTGAGGTCAATAAATAGATGTATTAAGGTAGCACCCAGGAGTCCCAGTTATGGCCTGGGACACAATGGATTGGGTGCTGTATGTTATTAGGTGTATTACGGTAGTACTTTGGAGTACTGGAATCCCATTTTGCTAGGTGCTGCGGGCACAAACGGGAGTGTTGATCCCATCAATGGGCAGTGAGTTCCCCAGGCTAACCGCCCCTCCCCTGCCCCGGTTCTTCTGTCCGTCCTAAGGCTAGTTGCCCTGTTCCAGACATCCACTGGAGGAGCTCTGCTAGTCAGCACTCTGCAGGCGAGTGATGTTAACTTCCCGCCCCCCGCCAAGCTAGGACCCAGGTGGGTTACACCAGCTGAGTGCTGCTTTCGCTGGGTTTTCCCCTGTTTTACAGGTGGGGAAACTGAGGCACGGGGGGGGGTCTGTGGCAGGAATCAAATCAAGTGGGAAATGGGTCCTCTGAGTTGAAATCGTCCCCTGTGCAGCTGGGATCTTGCAAAGAAGTGGCTCTAATTTGTGCTGGGGGGGGGACCGGGATTGTTTAAAGGACACAGCTGGGCAGGAGAGATACCGGACGATCACGACGGCCTATTACCGGGGCGCCATGGGCTTTCTGCTGATGTACGACATCGCCAACCAGGACTCCTTCAGTGCCGTGCAGGACTGGTAGGAGACGCCACGTTCCCTTGCACTGGGGTCTGTACCAAGAAAGCTAGTTGTGTCCAGAGCTGACTGATGATACCGGTAGTCGGGGGGTGGGGTGTCACAGCCAGTGTTCCCTGTAGACTGGGTGCTTGGGTGGCCACCCAGGAGACATTCAGGTGCTGCCCATCTGATTAGCACAGCACCCACAGCCTGTGTTTCTACTGATGGTGCACATCCACACATGCCTCGGCGCACATACAAATTATTCCACACATGGATGGAAGAAATTAGTGGGAACGTTGGTCAGAGGGATCGAGGTCAAGATCTCGGTGGGGGAAGTTAGCTCTCACTGGTGCCTGAATCTGCAAAGAGCCTGAGTTGATAGCTCCAAGAGCAGGGTCTAGTGGTCGGAGCAGGGTGCTAGGACAGTTGCGTTCCTCCCACGGAAGGGCCTATTTTAGTGCAAATCTCTGGTGGTGCGGCTCACGACCCTTTTGGTCCCCAGCAAGGGCAGGCGCACGGGGTTTGCCATAGTGACTTTTATGAAGGGGAGGAGTCAAGGTGGGTGAAGGGGAGGAGTCAAGGTGGGTGAAGGTGATTGACAGCTGGGGGCAGGGCTTGTGCGCTAGTTCAATCCCCACCTCTGCTCCATAGGGCGACTCAGATCAAGACTTACTCTTGGGACAACGCCCAGGTGATCCTGGTAGGCAACAAGTGTGACCTGGAGGACGAGCGGGTGGTGGCTACGGAGGACGGCAGGCGGCTGGCTGATGAGCTCGGTAGGGGTCCCTTCTTCCCTCCCCCACAGCAGGCTGGGCATGAAACGGATTCTGGGGGGTGTCGGCGGCTCCAAAACCCCAGGAATAAACGTCGGGGGGGGGGGAATTTTTAATAAAAGGCAGGGAAATTTTGGGGGGAAAATAACTGTTTTTCCCCGTTTAGAAAAAAAAATTGCTTTTTTTTCTACCCTGTTTTAATGTCATTTTCCTCACCTCCCCACCCACCAAAAATTGAGTTGGGGGGCTGGCCAATCACAAATTTCCATCAACAGAAGGGGGCCTGTCTGATCATCTCTGTGCCCTTCATTTTGTGCCCCCTTGCCCCCTAGTGGCCCAGGGAAACCGATAAAAGCGTCTCCAGCTTGACAGTATTTGGGCATTATTTCGAAACAATGTTGCGGTGTAGACGTACCCCTAGAATTCAAGGCAAGAACAGACCGTCAGGATCATGTATTCTGAGAACTTCCCCCAAATAATCCCTCCAGATGGTCTTTGAGAAACACGCCCAATCTGGGTGTCCGTCATGGCAAATCCACCCTTGGTCCGGTAGCGAATTCCCCTCCCTGTTAGAAACGGGCGCCTTATTTTCAGTCTGAATGGGTCTGGTTTCAGTTGCCAGCGGCTGAGTGGAGTTGGCCCTTCCTCTGTTCATGTGAAAAGGCACAAGTTCTCCCGTAGGTGGTTGGCAAGCGGGTTACTGCTCTGTGAGGAGGTGGGGGGGTTTCATGCTGATGGCCATGGGTTCGAATCCCGCTGCTGGATCTGTTGTTACTTGCAATCCACATTTACCACCATGTGTTTTCCACCCCCCTCCTCCCACTTTCTCTTCCTTCTCCTCCCCC